TTTTAAAATCGTCTCGCAACTGCCTTTTTTTCCTCTTTGCTGGGCTAACTTATAGCTGAAGCCCTAGTACTATCCTTTGTGCCTTTTTATTCTTGGGCCACTTGATAAGTTAGGGCCGAAGCTTTTTGAAAAAAATTACCCCCTCAACATAATTAATCTATATCTATATATATGAATATATATTTATATAATTACTAGCATGTCAATAAATTTTACATAATAAATAAAACATATTTAATTTTACCTAATAAATAGTGCAAACTTTCCATAGTTACAAAAAAGTTACATAAGCATGTTTTCAGAAATTGACTTGAAGAAACATAAAAGATACTTTTGTTTTCTAATTTATTTAAATTGCTACATATATAATTTATATATGTCTATATATAATTGCTAGCAAAACAATTAATAAAACCACATTTATTTTCCCTCCAAAAGAAGTTACAAGTACTTATTTACTTTATTTTTATTTTTTATTTTAATTAAAATATTAAACAACTCACTAATCAATGAAAATTATATATATCTAATAAAAAATATTTTAATAAGACAAATGAAATTATTTGAATTTTTCTTCTTTTTTCGTTACAATCCAATTGTATTAAAGAAAGTCATATGACTTTTTTTAATACAATGGTTAATTAAAATGTAATTATATTTTTAATTATTCTATTATATAATAGTTATTTACTGAAACTGACCAATTATAATTTATATTAAATGATATATGGAAGTCTTCTTAAACTTTTTATTTCTCGTAATTATTTTTTTAATAAGCTCACTCGGCTTTAGTGGTATAACCAAATCTCTTAAAATTTCAATAATAATAATAATAAATATTTTTTAATATAATTAATAGGTCATGATCCCTCAAATATATAAAAGCTACATTGTCTATTTCATTTTATGCAATAAATATAGTGATGAAGTTAAAAAATTTTATAATTAATTTTATTAATGATAAAATTTTTAAAATGCGATACTATATATTATCTTACTTATAATTTTAATATTATATACATACATGTAACTTATAATAATTTAAACATTTGTGCATGTGCACATGATCGAATACTAGTCTTTTTTATTACATAATTACTTCCCTTATGTAATTAATTGCTAATTAGATAAATTTGTTATACTTATTTGCATATATGCCTAAAGTTCTATTTCTCATAAGTATGGTATTTTAATAGCTAATGGCAGAAATTATTCTACAAACTTAAATCATTGCTTGTCCTCGAGCAACTTAGAACTATAAGCACGTAGATGGACATAAACAAGTACGTGGACTATTTGCTCATGACCTCACAAATTCTCACATAAGTACATAGCTCAAACAACACAAATTAATTTATTCAGACTCAAGGCGAAATTATTCTACGAACTCAAACACATCAAGTATCAATCCAAGTGACACCCATAGTTTGTCAATCTTTATAACGAATGTATTGATCAATGCAATTGATGACACCCCTCTCTTTGCTAACAAGTTAAGTTCCCTTCCGTTTCTAGCCAAAGTCTAAATGTCTCATTCTCCATTTTTTTTAGTAGGGAACGACAGCTCCGTCACAACCCATGTGTTTTAGCCTTTCGTGCACGTCTAAATACGAAAATTATTGGAATTATACACTAGAGCCCCCACAGATTGGCAGCTGTTGCAGCCCATGCTTTTCTTTTTTCTTCTTTTTTTTCTCTTCTTTTTTTTTTTTTTTTTTTTTTTTTTTGTGCCAAACGGCTTTTCAACTCTACCAATTATTCCTCCATTCTCATTATTCTTTTTTTTTTCGACTATGAGACATAGAAACCCCAACTTTCAACTTTAAGTCCCCAAATTTAATCAACATTGATTAAGGCAATCACAAGCACATCTCAACAACACAAATCTTCTCAAAACCAACTCACCACAAATAAATCACAAAAATATCAACCATCATGCCTTTGTCCCCAAAATATAACACCTCAAGATATTTAACCAAATAAAATTAACTCAAGCCATTTAAGCTAGCACAATAAATCCAAACCGACTCTCATGTCATCATCGTAAAATTCCACGTACATGCAATCTTATACTCATACACAAGCAAATATCATGCAATCTAAGAACTCAAACTCTAAGGGGCAAAAATATAATGGCATAATAAATCATGAATGCTAACCAAGAAACCACCTCCCCAAACTTAGAGTTTGCATATATCATCGACACTCAAATAACACAAAAGAATATAAACAGAGGTAAAAGAAACGAGTTCACCTTAGACAATGAGGAAGAAGTCACCGAACCATGCACACCATTGGGTTGCCTCCCAACAGGCACCTCCTTTTATTGTCGTTGGCCCGACTTATTTCCTCCTCTCATCAAAGGATCCATGGCGGCTTCGGAGGTGGCCTCAACGGAGGCACAAATCTCACCACACCATGTTTGACGATATCCCCTATCTTCGGTGTTGGGTGTTTTACCGGATCTTTTCTCCATTGAGTTGATTCCTCAAAGATATGTAGCAGCTCGCGCTCAATCACAGTCACCGTTTCATCAAACTCCCACTTACACCTTGCGTTTTGCTCGTTCGTTTCAAGAGAAGGTATATGAAGGCCCAAGACATGCTTCAGTGCATCCCTGCACCACTTCATATTGGAAGAGATAAGACAAGGTTCAGCTTCTATAGGCATAAGAGCGGGGCGAACAGTACGCTTTTTGGCTCCAGCAGGTCGAGTATGGGGAACAACAGGCTGAGTATGGGGCACCCCCGTATTGGGCTGTTTCGACTCCGTTTTCTCTATATTCGTGATTTTTTCGTTCTCCGGCTCGTATGTGCACTCTTCAGGTTCCTCGAGGTCCTCGCTGTACGAATGGGTGACGCTCGAACTCATTGGACTTGTTTCGAGCCGGTATGCTAGTCGGTCCATCTGTTCCACCAATTCGCTCATTTGGTCCTCTAAATTCCTTATGCGCACTCCTTCGTTCTTGATGCTCGCCTCAACACCTTGCTGAAAGTTAAGGGTGTTAGCCGTCAACTCCTTCATCATATCCTCGAGAGACGGACCAGGGTCATTCTCAACAAATGGCACGGAGTGTTTTTGCAGAAATCTCAACGTGTGAGCCTCTAGTGCCTTCACCATATCCTCGAGCGAAGGGCTGGGATCTCGCGCAATTGGTTGCTCGGAGTACCCATGGAAAGAGTTTAAGGGCTCTCTCAAGCGGTAATCATACTCATCGGCATAGAAATAGTCTTGTTCGTCCCTTCGCCAACCACTAGGTCCTCTTACGCCTCGATCTCCAATCTACGGACCTCGTATCTCCCTCTCATACTGGTAAGGTGTCTGGTGGGTATAAAAGTCGTGATAATAGGCTGCCATCTCGAAAAGTTGCGCCAACTCGATAAAATCGCCAAAAATCAAGTTACTCCCAAGAGTATGGGGGCAAACTATTCTGTCCAGCAGAGTATGGGGAGACCCAGTATTCTGCAAGAAAATAAAAGAAAAAGGAAAGAAATAAAAAAAAAAAAACAAGGGAAGGGGGATAAAAGATGATAAAAATAAAATCCTAAAAAAAATATCAATTAATACTTAAAAATCACAATTCAATAACGCCACTCCCCGTCAATGGCGCCAAAATTTGACCGCGCGTCGCAACGCGGCAAAATTATAATTTATATTTTCCTTAACCGACTTCTACCAACTAGTAGTAATAG